CATATCAACTTGTTAATCAATCTACCATTTTACCGGCTTACCAATTCACCTGTCAACCTATTTACCTATCAACGCGTTTCACATATCTACCAATTTACCTGCCAATCTGTTTATCCGTCTTGTTATTTGTCTATCTACCAGTTGTTCTGTCTACCATTTTACATATCCTCCAATTACCCTGGATCACCAGCCAGCCAACAAATTACGTTTTCACCAATTTACTTGTCTACCAATTCACCTGTCTATCAATTTACCTGTCTACCAATTTACCTATCGACCTGATTATCAATACACTATTTTATCTGTCAACCAATTTACTTGCTTTTACATTTACCTGTCATCCCGTTCTAAATGTCTACCAATTAACCCGTTCAATAATTTACTCGTTGAACAATTTACCTGTTTAACAATTTGTCTACTAATTTACCTATCAACCTGTTTATCAATCTACCATTTTACCGACCTATAAATTTACCTGTCATTCCGTTCTACAGGTCTACCAATTAACCTATTCACCCGTTTATTTGTCTACATATTCGTCTATCTACCAGTTCTCCTCTCTACCATTTTACATATCCCCCAATTTACCTGTGCACCAGTTTACCTTTATAAATTCTCTAATTCACCTTATTTGTTTACGCATTATAAAAAAATTAAAGCTCAAATAATCAATTTTACGTTTCTTCTACGTTTTAGTTAGAAAACGTTTGTATGTGCAAAAGAAAAGAGCTGTTTTAGGGTTTTTCGGCAATTATTCGATTTTTTCTCGCCGTAAGAACCATCCTTGGACTTCAACGAACATTTAAAAAAAAGAATTGGTCAAATTGGTCTAGGCGTTGTTAAGTTATGCGCTTACTAACACATTTTGCGATTCATTTTTATATATAAGATATTTTAAAATTTTTAACTAAAATCATTTTAATTTTCACAGAAGACAAAAATTTGATGATTTTAGAGTTAGTGTTACATATTTTCGTTTCTTTCCTTTCGAATGCTAAGGCTTATGCTCTAAAAACGTGGTCAGCGCACAGTTAGGTGGTGTAATCTACTGATTTATGTATCGGCCGAAAACGACCGAAAACGGCCGAATCCTTCGTGGAACATCGTGGCTACGTATTTCGTAGAACATACTTCGTTCATGACACAACGAAATTTACCATGAAGACAACGAATTATTGAACAATAGCGAGTCCTTTCGAATGATTCCGAACCACCAGCATTTGAACAATAAGTGGCGGATGTAATAACAATTACTCAAAATATTTTTAATATATCAATTCTATGATAACGATCAGGTGAATTATTCAAAATTCCCTTTAATTTGAGAAAAATATATGGATTACCAAGGCCAATCAGTTCGACGTCGCGACATATTAATATAAAGTTATCGCACGCATTATTAACCATCATATTTATAGTATGTATTGTAGAATAAACGATTCTTTAAAGTTATTTATATACATGAATCATGCAACAAAGGATACTCCCTCGGCCTTGTCACCACAAGGTTCTGAGTTTAAATCCCCCGTTTCATGCAACCTCATACCAAGTATTACTTGAATGTCAAGTGACACAGATTTTTCCTTGAAAATATATTATAAATATTTTCAAAATGCATTTAAAGGTATTACTTGGGTGCCTTCTTATATAAATATATCAAAAATGAAATAGAACAACACCCTTTACGAATTGGGTTGAATTCTAACGTTCTCTTGGCGTAAAAAAATAACGCGAAATTTAAATTGCTGTTCCAAAAAAGATAAGCGCCTTATACCTGGTAATATATAAGCCTTTTCTAGATTTTTTAAACATTTATGAGATAAGACTTGTAAGGAAGTGTAAAATGTTCTACATGTACTACGTGTAAATTGCAAGAGTGAATTTAAGTCAACATGTATATATCAAGTCCAATAATTTTTATATGATCAATTTCAATTAAAGTATCATATATACTTGAATGTGATCATTGATACTTGAAGTGATTCAGATGAACTTTATTTGGCCACAATGATTATGTTTTTTTTTTAAATTGAAATAATATTTAGCAAAAGTTTAACTATTATATTTTTATCACAATATTATAGATGTATCTTATTGGACTTCTAAAATATCATTATTATAAAATAATAATTTCTTTAAATGGGATATGAATATATTAACTTCGTTCCATTAGTTTATAAACATACCTTAATTAAGGATTTCAAAACTGCATACAAGCAATTTACAGCACTTGACTCTAATTTTTTATACTATTCATATTACAACGTATAAGTAAGTCTTATAAGCATAAGTCTTCTATGAAATATTTTATATTAAATGTTCAAGACGAAAAAGCTATCAGTCTTTCATTTTCTGGCAAGAACATATAATAATTAATAATTAATATAATTAATATAATTAATTAATTAATTAATTAATTAATTAATTAATTAATATAATTAATAGTATAATAATATTATTATATTATATTTTTGAGAAAATTACGGCAGTGTGCCATAATCACAATTAAACAAGTATAAACTAGCTGTAAGTGGAATTCTGTCTTAATGCAATTAAGGCATCGTGCTTTAAGGCAAATAGCTGGAACTTCCCGTACCAAAAATTATTATTTTTTGAAAAACGATTAACATTTTTGAAAAAAATTTACTTCGAAAAAATTAGATTTTTGAGAAACTATAAATTTGACAAAAAAAAACTTTTTTTTAAACAAATTTTTTTTTGAAAACAAAATTTTTTTGAAAAGAAAGATGTTTTCTTCGTTTTGACATATTTTGGAAATTCTGAACTTTTTTTCAAAGCAATCGTACTGCTTGAACTGCATAGAGACGAAATATCGAAGCGCGTAAATGCCGCGCCGCCGTCTAACGCATAAGCATTGGTACGGCACCCATAGAAATGTAAAAAAATATACATTTTGTTAAAATCTCTATAAAATATCTGATAATTTGATGTGCATATGTCTAATGATCATTTTTTACCGCCGAATGGCATTTTTTTTTACTTTTTTCATTAGATCTCTGAAACCGCTAGACCTGCCTTCATGAAAATTTGATCAATTCTTCATCTTGTCAATACAAGTAAAACGTTTTTGAATTATTCAAACCGGACGCTCCGTTCTCTTAAAAACTGAGTTACCGTTTTCGGAACTTTTTGCCCCGTTTCTTCGGAACAACTAGACCTGCCTTCGCCAAAAAGTAAGGAGACGTGCTGGTTAGTTTTTGGCAAAAACTAACCAGCACGTCTCCTTATCAATACGAATCGAATGTTTTTTAAATTATTCAAATCGGTTGATCCATGTTCCCGAAATCGTCGACGAAAATTTGTATCCGCACACACATACATACACGCACACACACACACACACATACATCCATTTTTTCTAAGGTATGCCAAAATATTCAGAAACCTTTGAAACGTCGAGAAATGCAAAAATTTTCATTTTCGATTTTTTTGCGATTACTATAACTAGCCCTACGGGAAGTTAATAATGGTCATAATCTAAAATAAAATTTTATCCAAATCCATCATTTTTTTCATCGTAAGCTGATCAATTGTAATTAATCGATCGTGATAAGCAGCTCGAAACGATAAAAAAGTTACGATATATTTTTCTAAAAATATTCTAATCTATTTTAAGCCTAGTTATACGCTAAATGTTCATTTTAAATTGAGGTAATATTTCCATATATGATTTATGTCCGTATAGATTTATGTTTAATGTATCTTATATATAAAAATGAATCGCAAAATGTGTTGGTAAACGCATAACTCAACAACGCCTGGACCAATTTGGCCAATTTTTTTTTTAAAATGTTCCTTGAAGTCCAAGGATGATGGTTCTTACGGCGAGAAAAAATCGAATAATTGCCGGGAAAATCCTAAAACCTGCTCTTTTCTTTTTCACATACAAACGTTTTCTAACCAAAATCAATAGTAGAATCAATTTGTGCTTTATTGGTATTATATAAAGTTCATATTAAATTACAAGCACTCACTGTATACTAATACTAAACGATTATTCGGATTTTGATAAATCTTTCTGTAGTTTGTTAAGGAAATTTTCTAGGATGTATGTGATTATAAAGTACTGGAAAATAGAAATAAATGGAAAATATTGCAAAAAACGACATGTCATTGTTTGCATTGAAAACAAATGAAAACCATCATTTGCCAAAAATTTCAATTTACTTATGAATCTAGACAATTTTAGAATATGTATAATGAATTTATGATTATGAATAAGAAAAATGAAATGTCTACATTATTATTGCCAAAAAGCAGCTGAGATGTGCCAGAAATTAAAATAATATAAGATACAGTATATGTTAATTCACTTAAAATATGAAATTAAGTATTAATCAGGGCCGGTCCTACCTTTAATGCGATGGATGCGAAAAATACGAGCGCACGCCTTAGGGGGCGCCAACACAAGATTCGGAGATTAAATTTTCAATATAGTTTTTTTTTCAATATCTAATTTCTTTGCATCTTTTACTAATATTTCCACAATATTTTTAAAATTCATAAAAATTTCACCTTATAACAACAAATAGAAAAGTAAAGATGAATACATACCATTCGACCCTCACGATATCGATTAGGGGAAGTTTAAGATGCAATATGGATGCAAATTTGGATATCATAAATAATAAAAAATTAAATTAATTTAATCCAACATGAAGTACCAGTGTTATGTTATAGGTATGGTTATGTTATACCGTTTAAAAGACTCCAATTTCCAATATAGTGTGGGAATTGAGACTCATCGTTTTATTTAAAGCAGTTGCACATTTAACATCGCCCATATTATAAATGTATTTGCTTTTTGGCGTAAAGAGTAATTTAAAAATCTTAATTATTATTTTTAGGTAAACGGTAATTATTAGTATATTATATTAAAAATTGTAGACATGGGTACAGGACAACATCTGTCGGGTCATCTAGTTATGTATAAATTTGATAAAGAAAATAAACAAAAGATAATATATAATTAAACTCACAGTCTCATCGGAACTTTGCAGATCGTTTTCGGTTTGATCGTCCTCTCGTTTGAGCAACACTACCAAAGGATAATCCTGCCTCGGAGGTTCTCCAAGAGGTCCAGGCTCTCCCGGCCATGGAGGCCTCAATGTCATCGACTTCTCCTCGTGGGCGACACCGGTCCTGCATTCGCGATGCGCATGACTAAATGGCATGTCTCCTTTCCTTCTGAACTTTAATCCATCTTTCTCATCACTATAAGAACATTTTTCACAAGATACTTTTTCACTGTCACAACTTTTATCACAATCACAATACTTTTCGGTAGCAGGATTCTCAGCTTCAGTATCCTTTTCAGGGCTACCTTTGTAGGCAAGGGACTCAAGGAGGGCTCTGAGTTCGGGCCAGGGCCTCCACAGAGCCCGGTGCAGGTCAATTATGGGCACAGCCCAAAATGCGAGCAGGGAGTACGCCACGCGGGATGATACTGCGCAGCGAAGTTCTGAAATAAATGATAAAAAAACCAAATGATTAAAGATTCCATTAAAAATTTGCAATGTTGGTACAAAACTAAACTAGTTGGTATTGGTATTTAGCCTTGAGGCAAGTTACATGAACTTCCCGATATGTGTAAATAATCGACTTAATCAATAAAAACAAATTATTTTATGAGTGATTAGAAGTATTCCGAGAGGATTTATTACACATAATTGAAAATGAGCGAACACGTTTTTTTTTTTTTTTTTGCATACTTTTATTGTTAATTTTGATTGACAATAAAAGTATGCAAAAAAAAAATTCTAACTTTGATGAATTTTTAAAATTAAACTACTTGTCGTAAAGCCGAAATATTTCAGTAAGTTCTATAAGACCATGATATATATCACCAAAAAAAGTTCCATAAAAATCGGCTTAAATTTTTTTTCAACAGTTAATTAAAAGAAAACGGCTCGGTAGATTTTCACCTAAAACTGATTAGTATCATTCACAACTAATATCTTTCGAACAGTTTTTGATTTTTTAAAATCGTTTCGGTAGGATGAGCTTAAATGTGGACGAAAAGTTTAACACTTTTTATCAAATTACAAAGAAACGGCTTTGCAGATCGTCGCACAAAACTGATAAACGATACATCGAAATACATCAAATGGCTTTTAAATTTCTGAAATCTGTTCAGGCGTTTTTGAGAAATTTTGAGAAAACGTCGATGAAAGGTCTAATTTTGACAAATGCCAAAAAAACGATACCAATTTTTGCAAACTTTGACGAATTTTCAAAGTTAAACCAATTGTCGTAGGACCGTAATATTTTAGTATGATCTAGAAGACTATGGTATCTACCGCCAAAAAAATAATCATAAAAATCGTCGAATTTTTTTTTTTAATTTTATTACAAGAAAACGGCCCGGCCGATCTCTACCAAAAACTAATCAGCACGATTCCCAACCAATATCTTTCGAACGGTTTTTGAATTTTCAAAATCGATTCAGTGGCTAAAAAGTGGACGAAAAAATTTTCACTTTTCTGCTATTTATAAAGAAACATCTCGGCCCACAAAACTGGCAAACGCTAATCCTCGTCGAGATACATCGAATGGCTTTTAAATTTTTAAAATCGGCCTAGCCGTTTTCGAGAAAACGTCGATTTACGGCGAAAAATCTGTTCAGACACACATACACATACTTTTTCCAAATTAGGTCTAATTCGATTTAGAATGGCTTGAAACGTCGAGAAAACATAAAATTAGCGAATCGGATTTTTTGATGAAAACATAAACTTAATTTATGTTACTTAATGTTACTTAATAGGCACATAATTAAAATCTTTAAAGATCTATACAATTTTATTAAAAAATGCTTGATTACAAGGTCGCTTACAAGTCTTGTATGTAATTCTTAATTAGAATTTTCAAATAATAAGAATTTATCATTAATTGCTTCTGAACACAATATTTAGTAAATAAAATAAATGCAAAAAAATTATAACAATATATAAAATTTCATTAGTATATAAGTATGATTAGTTGTATGTCTTGAATGCACAGCATGTATTATTGTATAAATAGATCAATAAAGCTCACTGTATTATAGACAAATCTTCTAGAAACATAAAGTTAGCATATATTCTAATTTAAACAGTAAGCTATACAATTAATTTCATGTCGCTAAATTTTTTTTGCGAATTTCAAAGCTTGGCGACCTTGTTAGAATGATAACTTTTGAATAGAAAAATAAAAAAATCTTCTCTTGTTAACAAAAGATGACCTTTATATATTATGATTACAATGCAAATTATGCAAAATGATTGTGAGTTATGTTGATTGATTACAAATAATTGATTAGTTTAATAAGCAACAAAAAATGAAAAACTCGGAATAATAAACAATACACCATTCTTATGATAAATATGCAATTATACGATTATCTTAAGATAAGAGATAGATTATGAAAATATTAAATCTTTTATATTTATATAAGCATCATTTTATTTACATATTAGAGTACTAATTACTGTGCAAAGAGCAAACAAGAGGAAATAAAAAACAGTAAATAAAAAATATTACTTGGATCTGATAACACAAAGATAAGATCACTTAAGATACAATATCAAGCTTTCATTGAAGAAAATGCACTTATTTTTTCTACGAGGTTGAGTTCCAAAGCACTATTCTATCACCTTGATGGCCATCACCTTGAAATGCTACATAACTCAAGTCTTGTTTAATTTGAAATGAAAATAGATATATGAGTTATGAACTGTAAATATAAAACTATTCTTGTACAGAAATCTGTTTATAGTAGCATAGTGAATATATGAACAAATTATCTACTTACTATTTTCTTTTAAACTACTTTAATTTTATTTACTACTTTTATTTTTAATGCACTTGCTCATGTTTGAATTAATTTTATAATTAGCAAACTAGCAAAATGATCAACTCCTATAGTAAACCGGTTTCAAATCTCGTAAAGCTATACAATTACCTACGACAACATCTCATCATCATATGTTTATGCGATGGGTAAAAACAACAAAACAAAACATAGTAAATTCTTAATAAGAAAAATTACACTGTGTGACAAAAATGGCAATTTTGTTTTTTTTGCTCTAACCTTCTTTTAAACCTTCTTGGAATTTTACGCTGATTTTAAATATACCTTCCCTTTTTCCGTAACAGTTCCAGTTTTTTCAGTTTCAGGGGACTTTATCCCAATTAGTTATTTTGGATATGATTGTCGCAGTTTAACGAATAACCAAGAGTTATATCTGCTGTTTTCGATACGGCTTAAAATTGAAATGCGCAATCAAGATAAAACATAGCTTTTTCCCGCTATGTGAGAAAATGACGTAGTGTGTTTATGATACGTTATTATCCAAAAGGGGAAAAAATACTATAATTTTAATATCTCCGCAATTTAGGTAAAAAACTCAGAATGACCAAGATGACTGTGTGGTAAATATCTTCTGTTTCTTCTCTGTGGTAAATATCAATTCTATTCAGGCAATAGAAGCATATGGTAATAAACGAGATCTCAGTGGTATTGGGCCTACTTACAATCAGCTACACGACCCCTATCCATGCTAATGATGAGCAACCTCTCGACATCTTCGAGACCAACGATAATAGAGAAGTCAGGAAGATTTAAATACTGATATATTTGATGTAATGGATTTTGGAATGGTTTTTGGAAACCGTACTCTCATTTAGAATGGTTTTTGGAAATTCTCGGAGATATTACCAGGGAGCAGGATGACAGAATCCATCAAGACATCAGTACTTAGGAGGAGGAAGAGGAGGATATCATAAAGGATGGTACTTCCACATTATGAGAAAAAATTGTTGGATCTTACGACAAAATCAGTCAGGCCTTGTCCACCCTCGAAAATCATAAGAATAGACTTTAGAAGACAAAATAAAGTAATTAACTTTTCTGTCGCAATTGGAGATAAAACTAGCACATTGGTATATGTCGAAACAGAGCTGTTAGCAAAATTCTTTAAAAAAATTAGTGTCACGCTGAGTTATTATTTAAGTTCAATATTATCATTACTAATTTGTTTTATTGTTTTTATTTTAATTGCAATCTGTCACACTTATTTCAGTAATTGTTTTGACTTTTCTTATTATATGAATATTGAATGGATGGCAACCCATTTCTGGGGTTCTTCTTCGAGTTCTGGTTCTATCTATACTCGAATTATTTGCTGACTTTTTATTATATACGCAACTATACCCACGAGAGGCGATTTTCACTTGAGGCTATATTTGAGATCTAAAACCTCAAGTGGAAATTTGACATCAAAGTTGCCTGATGTCAGGCTTGGCGGTAGCGAGAATCGAACCAGCGAACCTGGAACTAGTTGGTGCTAGCCCACGCTCTAACCGATGTCACCACCGCTGGCCATCGTTACTAAATAATATATAAGAATTTTTATTTACCATTATAAGGTTCAGAATTGGATGAATCAAGTACCCTAAATGTAAAAGGTATGTGAACTTTAGTCATCCGGAGACGTGGAACGCGTGGTGCAGATGAGGTGCTCCAGTGGTCATCCATTGCCCCCATGTCCCTTGGCGCTCGCAGGACTATGGCACTCCTTAAAAAAAAAAACAATTATAGAATTTATACAAAATATTGCAATAAAACTAAATGATTGTAAAAAGACCTTAAAGCATTAAAGTATTTTCGTTTTATTATATTGGCCATGAAGGTGACAACCTTCAGGGCAATAAACTTTACACAGAATGGTTGCTACCTCTGGTAGAGGGGGTAGCGGAGTGTTTTAATTAAACTAGTTGTTCACTTCTAAAAGTAAAGACCACAAAACAACATGTATAGTAAATAATAAATAAATATATCTTCTTTCATTTTAACTTACTATACAAACAAATCAGTGTTTAATACAGTCCACAGCTACAAGGGTTAAATTATAACCCAAAACCTGAGTTATCGAAGGAGAGTTTTAATAAATTTCATAACTACGTAACATAAATACACATCATGTTCAATATAATAATTAATGTCACAATAATGTTCAAAATTTTTATGGAGTTTTGTCAAGATGTTAGATATTTTTTATATCTACAAAATAGTTATACTACTATATTATAAAATCGAAGTTTATAATTAATTATTAGGACTATAATAACCAGTTGAATTAAGATACCAAACTATATCGGGAATAGCTCAATCAGTGGCGTGCCTGACTCACGCGCCAGGGTTAATCAGTTCGAGTTTTGGCACTGACTTAGAATTGTCATTTGACTTGTTAGCTTGTTACATTGAAGTTTATTACAATTTGAATTGTTAGTTTGAGATGAAATAGAATTAGAAGTTGATCAGAAATTGAATTGTTAGTTTGAGCTGAAGTAGAATTAGTTGAATAGAAGAAGCCAGGTTAGAATATAATGATATGATAAAAGATAGTACATACATGTATGATATAATAAAGATATTACAAAATGTTAAAAAGAAAATTTGTAGGGATTGATTAAGCTCTTAGTAAGGCCAATAAAAATAGATAAAGAACTACAAGATACCAAAGCTTCTACAAAGTTTTATTTTTTATTATATTTATTTTTATTAACTAAAATATGAAAACGAGTTTAGTATAACATTTACTCATGATTCAATAATACCTTAATAATATTATCACGAATAATATCTTATTTCAAATGCTGTGTATCAACATATAGGCTATAATATAAAAAATAAAGGAAGCAATTAGATAGTCTATATTAAAATTGTCAATTTTATATTGTCATTCGACTGAATTAAAAATCGGTTACTAATTAATTATATTACAAACAATAAGATGATGATCGTTCAATCAATACTAATGTATGTAAATGCAATTGTTGGTGTTTTTAATTATTCAATTAATTGTACTACTTGTATGTTTATACAAGCAGTACTTATCGCTATTGGCATTTGAATCATATAAATTACTTCATTATTTTCTAAAATAACAATGTAATTCAATAGGCAAGACATGATTAGCTTGACATTTACATGTTTTTAATTAATTAAAAGTACACGCAAAAACTGCTGCTACACATAAAACTAGAAAATGAATGAAATATAATAAATTTAGAAATACTTTGAATTATTTAAATTATATTTTTTTATATAACAATTCAAATCGATGCAGCAATAGGTATAGCCATTGAGTCTCTATTCAATGGTTAAATTTTTAAAAATAATAACAACATTAAAATGTATTTATATTTATTAAGTATAGAAATTCATTAAAATTCATTTGAATACATCTTCCAAAAAATATTCCGCTTTGAAAGATTCTTAAATAATAATACTAATATAATAAAATTTTTGGGAAGATGTATAGAGATAAACTTATTAACATAGAAGATAATAATCCTAATGATTATGAGTGATATTTGCAAAGTGGCATAAATGCAATAAAAATGAGGAGAAAAAAGAATATATTATCTCACTTGATTATTTATTATAAATTACCAAAAACTATTTGTCAATAACAATTTTTTAACTGATGAACACACTATACTAGTCGAAATCACAACACGTTATAATAACTCAGAAACATTGTAAAAAATATTGAAAATATTAATTGAATATTTATTGTAATTTGGAAAATGTGTGTTATGCGTACTTTTGCAGTCAGTGTATTTTCGATTCTTACTTATTTGTGGATATTTTTACATAATTATGCAACTCAATTAATTCAAATATTTATTACCATTTACCGGATTTGTTTTAACCAAATGTAAAATAGCTCCATATTAAATGTAAATAAAATCACGATTGAGCCAGGGTATGTTAATGACTGTCGCCATAATAACTAAACTTACTGACTTTGATATAGGGTCCAAAAGAAGAAATATATAGTATGTTTGTTTGAATAAGTTCCCATTATTGCATTAACGATAACGTGATCTGTAGACCTAATTGACTTCAAAGAGTCAAAAGTAAGTTTTTTTGTTCAATTTCTATTAATAATAACTTACTTCTTTCTTGTATATATATATAGTTTGTTATTTTAATGTTAATTGAATATTTGTAGTTAATTGCCAAAAATTACTTTTCAGCACAACCATAACGATGATTTATTACCAAAAGTGTGCGTTGGATACGGTTGTGACATGTGGTTGTAAGTTTTGTCCTCTTCGGGTTGAAGATTGATAGATAAAAAAAAATCTATTTTAACTAAGACAAAATATGAAAGAAAGAAAAAGAAAAATTTAATACAAAAAAAAACTTGTTGCCTTTGTTTATTATATTGTTGTTAATTATATTGTTGTTATATTTTATTCATAAGCCTTGTTTAAATAATTATGTTGTATTGTGTTACATATGCATATCTGACAATAAAAGTCGTTATAAACCATTTTTGGTGTTTATACCTATTGTTTTTAATCTATTTTTATGCCTGTCACAACCGCTTTGGGGTGTGTGTGGCTGCTTGTGGCATTCGCTCTCTTCTTGTATGATTTGATTCTATGACTAATCCTTCGTATTTAATTTTAGTATTTTCATGTAGACAAATGTTCAAATTACAACTCAATTTGCTTGTCTCCCAGCTAACTAGTAAATTATGAGAGTTAAGCATGATCATCAAGAAAGTGACACAACCGTACCCAGCCTCTTCTGTTCCTACTTTTGCCAGGTTACATATTATTCAAGAAATTGTGGGGTATATAAAGTTAATTATTATTTCTTATAAGAATTTAAAAAGAGTATTTAACAGTTTTAATTTGAATTAAACTACCTAATTTGAAAATTAAGTAGTTTATTGCCAAATATACATCATTATATAATGATGTATTAAGTTTAAAATAATTGTAAAATTAGAATATAAATTTCTGTAAATCACGTCAAAGCTAATTTGTAAACAGGAGGTTAAATAAATATATATTAAGAAACTCTTACTTTTAAATCTATTAAACCTTTCCTGATAAAATTTTAATTAAAATGAAATAAATGCTTGTTTAGTAAAAAAAACATACGAAACACCTGATTTTTAGTACGAACCTTTTGGGCAAAAAACTCAAGATATCACTTGATGCGCATAATTATTCATAAAAAATATAAGGAAACAAAGTATTTTTCACAATACAGAATGATATCGTCAAACCTTATACCTTATACGTGTGTTTTGATGCTGTACCACTTTTGTTTTCTTCGTCGTGTTCATCGAAAGTGATAAAAGTGGGTCACACAGGCCATTAAACCGATTGCGCTCAAAACGATTAAATAATTAAATGTGTGCCATTCTCATTGCACACATCTTATTTTGTAATATTCTTTTAGATTATATTACTGAGAAGAAGCCCTAGAGGCAGCGATTAAAAGCCCTTTGGGAATGAACGACCTTAGACAATAAATAAAAATAAATGCTTAAAAAGACACCTGCCATACTGCTAAAAAAAGAGCAATTTGCAATCAAGCAAATATAATTAATTAAATTTAAAAAATTATATCTTGTAATGTAAATTTTTTGTCGTATTTATGTAATGGCGTGAACAACTCAATTGTATTTTATATACACATATATTATTAATCATGATATAGAAATATATTGGATATCCTTCATAAAATTCGATATGATAGAACTGATCTTTACATGAAAAGGTAAAATTATAATACATTTTCATTAAATTTTCATTTAACATTTTCATATAACTTTTAAAAGAATATTTTAAATTGAAAAGTTTTATTGTTACTATTAATCATAATAAATAAAAATGACTTTTGTTAAGTGTAGTTCTTATTTAAAAAGCATTAATTTCTAAAATATATTATAGAATATACTATAAATAGATTAGAATATATAAATATTCTAAATAGATTATATATCATTTCGATATCAATATCAATTTCTAACGCGTAGTTTTTGAGTAATAAATAATAGAATTATTAAAATAAATTTTATTTATTAAAATTAGTACTTATTACAGTATTTCTTCATTATCATACTACTTTTGTTTTAAATAAACATAGACAAAAAAAAATAATTGATATAACTGAAACAAAGAAAAAGTTTCACATTGAAACAACAAAATCATATTAATTCAATTGTAGTTTTAAAAAACTATGAACCAAAATTTATATTTTTTTATTTAATTAAAAAAGAAATAACCGTTGAATAATTTGAAAAATATGATATAAATGATTAATAATAATTTAATAATAACATAAATGATGAATTAGGTTATATTGATTGAGAGCTTTTTAGACAATTGGGTCATGAAAATAAATTAATATTTTTAAGCCAGTTTAAAAAATCAACGAAAACCCAATATCAAAAAAACTCAATATGTGTTGACTGACAGTTAAAATCATCTGTTAAAGTAAGTTTTATATTATATAAAGATTTTAATGTAATTTAAAAAAAATTAATAAAAGTCGGACTTTTCATTAGTAAACTTAAAGTTTAACCACAGCAAAAAAAAATGAAATAAAAATCGTCATATATAAGTTCACCCAGCATTTTGAAAAATATATTATGCGTTCAATATTGAAAATTGTATGTTATTTATTAATTATTTAATTTTTTTTTTTTTGTAGTATTATTATATTATTTTATTATTTACTATTATTATATATTACTATTATTAT